TTTCTAGTCCTGGCTTACTGCCCCAGCCTTGACCCTATGACATCAACATTCTGCAGGAGGAAAACACGCTCTCTTCTACCTGGGGCTTTTCCACTGCGCTGTAAACCTGTATATAAATCTCCTCCCTCCTACAAGAGAGAGACCTCTTAGCACTTGCAATGAAGACACACACACACACATTCTCCTGACAATAAAGGCAATACATGCATTCTCATATTACAAACAAGTGGATGTCTGGTCTTTCTTTCCCTGATACCTTGGAGTTGCTTGTGGCACGGGCGCCGCAATTGGAGGTCCCACCGAGATCCAGAGAGACTTGGAAAGACTGGGAAAGATTGGCCAGAAAGAAGACTCAGGAGAAGAGAGACTCGAGAAAGAAAAGAATTAAAAACAGGCCTGCTTGTGGCGTGGGCACCGCAATCTGTGTGTGCACACATATATACACATGTAAATAAAGAAAAATTTCAATGGGCAAAATGGGCCCTTTCCTAGACAATGTAGATTGTTAGAGTTAGAACAAAGCCACACACCTTTCTTGGGCAGCCACCTCAACCATGCCTTTGAAGTCCATATTTTCCCATGTTTGTCTTCCTTTCCAGACTCCATGCCTGGCCCAATCTGGCTTCAGTCTCAGATCTTTAAAAAGCTCATAGTCATATTCCTTTGGCATCTCCTTGGCTCCTAAGCTCTTTTAGCCTCAGTTACCCCATCTATATCCTGGGGATGGTAATTCTATTCCTTTCCAGAAGGCTCTTACAAAGATGAAGCAGCATCAACATCAACCGATTTGCCAGGAGGGCACAGAGACTAGCCGCTGTTACCATCAGAAAGATTTGCCAAGTAGTGGGCATCAAACTGAGCTTCCTAATAATATTGTCAGTTCTTGGAAAAGCATAGGAGGAGGACACATAGCCTCTTGGAGGAGGCAGAGTTAGCTTGGGCTGTGTAGTCTAGTCAACATAGAGGGAGGTACTGGCAACTTTATATGTTTGGAAGTGCAGTGGTTTCTACAGGATTTCCTAGTGGCTCAGTGGGGAAAAACAGTGAGGAATTAGGAATGTTTCCTGGGGCTGCAGAGATTGTGTAGATGTTAAAGTGTTTGCTATGAGTAAGGGTCTGAGTTTGGATCATCCCTATCATCCTGCAGATGGAGACAAGTGGACACCCAGAGCTCACTGGCCAGCCCACCTTCAATGAATGTGGAACAGGGTTCAGTGAGAAACTCTGTCTTAAAAAATAAGGTGGAGAATGATAGATAAGGCCTGGCATTGGCTTCTGGCCTCCATATATATATGTGTGTGTGTGTGTGTGTGTGTGTGTGTGTGTGTGTGTGTGTGTGTGTATTCATCTCCCTGCACATGAACACACAAATAAACCTGTACACATACACACATCACAACACACATACATGCACTCATGCATGCACACACTAAACGCACAGGTTCTCTTAAGTTTTACACGAGTGACTCAGTATATAGAGCTGTTATTTTTTGAGATATGTTGGGCAATTCTAATGTGTTGTCCAAATCCCAGGTAACTCTATCCACATCTAAGGATTCTGTACACATAGGTTCAAACGGCTTTGGATTAAAAGGCTTCAGAAAAATGCACTGGTTTGCACATGAGGCTTACTTCCCACGACCTCATCTCCTAAACAACTCAGCATAACAATAATTTCCATTGTATCAGAATGACTGAGTGTGCTTAGATGGTATGAAAATGCTACACTAGGTGTTTTCCCCTGTTTTCAAATTGATTCTTTGAAGATTTCACACATGTATACAATATGTTATGATCATATCAACTCATCTATTCCTTCTCCAACTCTACCCAGAACCCCCTCCACATTCATCTCCCAACTTTGTGACTGCTCTTCATAGCCCAGTAAGTCCAGTCAATACTGTCCTTGTGTGCATGGGTGTTGGACCCCTGGAGCATGGGCAACCCAACAACGGTCACTTTCCTGAAGAAAACTGACTCTCCTTCTCCTAGCAGGCTTCAACGGCCAAGGCTTCTATCTAAGTTAGAACGCCGGTGGGCTTGATCTTACGTGGATCTTATTCAGATAGTCATAACTGCAGTGGGCTCATGAATACAATGGCTCTGGTGTGTCCTGAAGACATTGACTCTCAGAACTCTTCTCTAATCTCTGGCTCTTACCACCTTTCTGTCCTCTCTTACGCAGTATTTCCTGAGCTCCTTGGAGAGAGGGCTGCTATAGATATCTCATCCAGGCAGACTGACCTTTTCACAGTTATTTATCACCTGCACTTTGACAAATTGTTGACAGTATCGATTGCCATACTCTGCAAAAATTAAATGCTGCACCATATATATGTGGGTCTTGAGCATCTGCACATGAGCCAGTGCACCAGGGACAACTACATACTTAGACAAACACCGACTTGTCTCTGGCACCCAGCTAAGTTGGCCCAATGGGCTGCCCCAGAGGATGTGCAAAAGAAAAAAGGGCAATGATGCTAGTGTTTGTATCCTTTTCTGAGAGAAGGGCTTGAAGCCCATAAGACCTTAACTGAAGGTTATCTTTGTCTATGCTCTCTCCAGAGTTTGATGCCCATTCCCTAAGTTCAGCAGGCCTTGGGCCATGGGTTCATAGTCAGTCAGTTTCTTACCCTTCTGTGCCATCCTGTTTTGGTTTATTTTAGTGTGATTTCTCCCCTGCATTTCTCATTTCCCTCTATTCTTTCCTTCTTCCTCCCCACATTCTTTCTCCCTTCCCTCCCCACTCCCCTCTTTTTTTTTTCATAGCTCTGCCTGTCTTTGAACCGATGATCCCATTTGCTTTGGTTTCCCGGGTACTGGGATTATATAGGTGTAATTGTAGCCATGTCTCACCTGGCATGGCTTTTTCCATTTTTTGAGTAAGTGAAATGTGATACATGTCCAGGAAGAGTGACGAATATTAGGATAGCTAAAGTATGAAGTGAAAAAATAAAAAAGAATGCCTAATGTTCTAAATTTCAAGATGGTACCTTTAGTCTGCAGCAAGATATCGTTCTAGAAATGAGCCTCTGTGGAGAAAGAAAATGGTTTGCTGAGCATCTAGAGGTTTTGTTTTTTTTTTTAATTATGTAAAGAGTCCAGCGAGATCATGTAAGATCAATGTCACCATATAGAACAAGCAGAGAAATTGACTAATGGAAGTTCCCTGTAGAAAGGAAGAAGAATTGGAAAATATTGGCAAGGGAGGAGGGAGGGAAGTAGATCGAAGAGGGAGGAGGCCAAGAGACTCTGAGAGGGAACAACTGGCCACTGGAGAGTGACTGTGAGCTTCCCTGCTCTACCATGCTTAGGTAAACTTGGGACAGGGATTGATGACACATTAGAAACTCAAGGGCCCTTAGATGGATTGTGGGAGAGACAACCCTTCCTAGCATCCCCACTGTGTCCACCATGGCCAAGAAGGGTTCCTTGTGGTCTGGATCTCCTTCTGCCTCACTAGGAAGTCACCAGCATGCTAAGGACAATACTGCCCTGTGACGCTATCTTGTTTTTACTCCTCTAACAAATAAAGCCTGCTTGAATATCAGAGGGCAGAGGCAGCTACTAGTTAACCATAGCGGTCTTTAGTTTTGTACAGATAGGAAGTGATACGGCTGGGCAGAGACAGGAACTTAGTCTTTTTTGGCTGAGGAAGTAGCAAGTTGGCTGTGGCTTGCTCTTTCCTCTCTCTGATCTTTCCGCATTTGCCTTGATATCTGGCTGCAGAACTCATGTTATACTATCCTGGTACAGGCTTGGGACCAGGAAAAGTATGCAAGAGGGCACAGATAGCAGGGTCTGAGTGGTGTGAGGAGCACGGGACTGAGTGATGTTGGACATCAGTAGCAGATGTCAGCAGGACTCTCTACAAAGGACAGTGGGATCAGCTACACTCCAGCAAGTGCTAGTCAGATGCTTAGGGGCAAGGGCAATCCGTATCTGGGGACACCAAAGGCTCCAAGGATCTTTGCCACAGGGCACTTCTGTTTTCTTTTCCACCTGGTAAAGCGGGGAGCTTGCAGTCTTCTCAGTGACTGGTTGGGCATGCCCAGAATCACTCTTCCTTTTTCCTCCACAAACAATGCTTTCTGGTTCCTTTTCCTATCTTCTGGAAATTTCCTTTAGTCATTGCTTTTTTTTCTTTGCCTGTATTTGGAAAGGAGGGACGGCCCTTTGAATTTAGTGGCTATTTTCTCAACGAAGTTGAGTCCATCTCACAGTGACCTGTTTCTAACAGGGGCAGCAGAAGTAATCCTTCATTCACGATTTCCATTCTTCTTTATTTTTAGGACAGATGGAGGCTTCAGAGGAAGAGAGTGGGGTTTCAAAAGGAAATAAGGAGCCAGGTGTTGTGGGGCATGCTTTTAATACAAGTGCGCACAAGGCAGAGGCAAGAAACTCTCTGCTGGTTCTAGGCCAGCCTGGTCTACATAGTGAGTTCTGGGCCAGTCAAAACTTCATAGTGAGACCTTGTCTAAAAAAATTATAATAAATTTCATCTTCTTAGGAAAAAGTCTGAGTGTTTTGCGTAAACTTTGACTCACTTTTTGGATCCTCTCACAAGGTCAATCCTTTCCTAGACTTTCATTTTGAGCTGTGGAGTCACAGAGTAAGTGTGACAGGGAGTTTTCATCTAACATAATCACCACTTTTACTTGAGTAATTTTCAATAGAACCACATTAAAGGAAATCAATACGAAGAGAAAAATATCTATCTACAAAACAAAAGTATCTCTTTAATAATGTGTTGTCTTTGCCTGTGTTAAAATATGAATATGGGGGGAAAGGCAAGGTGGGTGGGGACCGAGAGGAGTGGAGGGAGGGAAACTGTGGTTGGGCTGTATTGTACGAGAGAAGAATATATATGTATGTACACACACACGTCTATATCTATATTTTCTTTTGGTTGGCTGACCAAATCTACTGCCTGAGGAACTGTGCTACCCACATCCTTTGTTCATCACTATTGACACAAAGGGAAAGAGAGGAATGATTACCTGGTGCTGTCATGTGACATCAAACTTTGGCTTATTGGGGTGCTCTTCCAATTATTGAAATGGGACATTCTTGGGATGGTATCCAGACTCAACAGTGTTGGCAGGGTTTTGCTATTTCTGCTTCTTAGCCGTTGCCTTTATACAAAACCCCAAGATTTGTAGGGATTGCTCTCCATCCTTTCTCTGGCATCCTAGATCCTGGCTTGAGGCTCCGGACTCCTTTGGAATGTCGACATTATGATGTTATGGAAAGGGTGTTGGCAGTTCCATCCCCAGGATTCCGCAGAGTGGGCACCCTAGTACAGATGTTAGCTCTGTGTAACCTCTGCACGTTTTCCTCTCTGTGTTCTACAGCCCATGCCACTTGAAGGAAGAGTTTTCCTCAGTTGACTGGGGACTGGGTGAGCCACAAACACACTCTGCTACTTTTGTTTGCATTGTTCTGAGTCAGAAGCATCTGCTGTTTTAAAGACTGCTTGATTGTATGCTCCCTTTAGCTTAGAACTCTGTCCACATGCCCACATCCGAGAGGAGTGGCGGTCCCTGTGTCAGCAGCAGTGACTATCAGAGCTACAACTGTGATTGTGGAAACCAGTACATGGATTTCACTATGCTACCAGTGGTGATCATGTGAATCAAATCAAATGTACACTGCTCATAATTTCCATCGTGGTTTCCTTTTTGACCCACAGAGAATTTAGAACCATTTTTAAGCTTCCAGATATGCAAGACTATGTTTGTGTATTTCTCAATTTCTCTGTCTCTGCCCCCTCTCCCCTCCCCTCCCCTCTCCTTTCTACTCTACCTCTCCTCTTCTCCCAACAACTTCTCTTTTAGAAAGTCATGCTTCTTTCTTTCTTCTTCTTCTTCCTCCTCTCTGCTGTCTCTTCTCTTCTTTTCTAGAATTCAGTTCCTACCTTGCTATATTCTGGTTATTATAATCTATGTTGCTTAAAAAATATTCATTGAAATATCCTTTATGGCCTGCAATGTACTGTCTTTGAAAATATACCCTGGATAATTGGAAAGAATGCAGATTATCTAAGAGTTGACACAAAGTTCTACAGATGTAATCATGATAAAGTGTTATATTCCAACATCACTATTAATTTTTGATGACTTAACTTGCATTAATTAAATATTAACATTGCACTTGCAAACATTCATAGTTTTATACTTCTGTTGGCCTTCACTTTCACGATATTGCTGTTTTGTAGACAAAAAACTTCACAGACACATAAAGTCACATACTGGCTTGGGTATGTTTCAAATCAATTTTAAACCTATGCTATTGATGTTTTTTTTTGGCTCAAATTTGTTTTTTTTGTTGTTGTTGTTGTTGTTTTGTTTTTGTTTTTCGGGACAGGTTTTCTCTGTATTGCTTTGGAGGCTGTCAGTCCAGCTGGGGTCGAACTCACAGAGATCCACCAGCCTCTGCCTCCCGAGTGCTGGGATTAAAGGCGTGCGCCACCACCGCCCGGCTTGGCTCAAATTTGTTAGTTTCTTAGTATATTACATAATAGCTTTCCATCTCACTAGATAATATTATAGTCTGAAGTTTATTTAATCTGAAACTCTATTATTAAAGGATCTTAATTTTCATTAGTATTTAAAAAATATAATTTATGTTTCTTTGTTCTGATTATATTTTTGAGTGATGTTTTTGTTATTCTATTATTCTATGCTTTGCTTCAATTCTCTAATCCCATCTCCCTTTAGATTAAGCTAATTTTCCTCAGTGTGTTTCCTCTCTCACACTTTTCTTTCAGAAGTTACTTATTCTATTTAACAAGGATTGCAATGTGGAGCTGACTTTAACAGGCTAAGCGAGCACCCTACCACCTAAACTCCATCCCAACTCTCTCCTCAGGTTTTTAGGAACCTAAATTTTGAGATTTTAATGGCAAGGAAGAACTTTGGTCAAGTCAATTTCTACGTAGTTTAACTTTTCTCCCTCAAGCTATTACCATTGCTAGTCATAACCACTGTCTTAGTTCATTTTTGTCAAACTGACACAAACCTAGGCACATCTAGGAAAAGGGAGCATCAGCTGAGGAATGGCCTCCATCAGATTGGCCTGTGGTCATGGCTGGGGTGGCATTTTCTTGATTGTTGATTGATGGGGGAGGGCCCAGTCCACTGTGTGTGGTGCCATTCCTAGCCAGGTGGTCCTGGGTTGTATGAGTGAGGTAGTTGTGAAAGCCAAAGGAAGCCATCTAGTAAGTTCTGTGGTTTCTGCTTCTAGCTCCTGCTTTGAGCTCCTTGCCCTGGCTTGCCTCTTGTCTCAATTTTAGTCTGTGACCTGTAAGCTGTAATGAACCCTTTCCACCTTCAAGCTGCTTTTAGTCATGGTGTTCATCAAACCAACAGAAAGCAAGCTAGGACAACCGTATAGTTAACGTCTTGGAAGTGCGTTTCTGGAACTCATTTTTACTTTCCCTCTGATTGTAACACAGTTCATAAACAAAATCACACAGATGGAAAAGAATGTTCCATCAATCTCATAAATATCTGAGAGAAGTGTTGAAGAATGTGAAATTCCTTAAGCCAAGAGCACCTTTATGGATTCAGTCCAAAAAGATTAAGAACCCTTAGAGCTTGTAACATATTTTCTTCTACTTTATATGTTTGCTCATTAAGAAAAACTTGATGCAAACATGAAGATACTGTAATACATATTTTATTATCTATATACTATTACACTCCCATCTAGTCAGTTAACACTATGTCCCTTTGGAATATGTCACCTACTATGTGTCCTATGATATATTTTTGTTTTTAGCCAATAGGGAGATTTATTTATTCTTTATCTATTTAGAGATAGTCTTACTATGTGGCCCAGGCTTGGCTATATATCATAATCTCAATTGTATTAAAATATTGGACAGGGATCAAGATACTGCAGAAAAGAGCTAATAAGCAAAATAAGACATTGCCCTTTTTGTGTGAAATAAAACTTGTGGGAGATTGGTCATTTCACAGAGCCCTGTTTGCTAAATTCCATCACCAAACACAATGTTCTTTGTTACTCAACAAACATTAAGGAAGATATATATATAAACATAATTAACCTTAGGGTCTCAGACTTAAATATTAAGCAAAGAGTCAAAACCCTCCTGAAGGCCATGCCTCTACCTTTATTCATATCTCTCCAGGGTGACAAAGAATGCACAGTACTTATGCATGACTGAGTGACAGTGCTTGGTGCTCGATACAGGATTGCCCTATTTGCTTAGCGTCTTCTCTCTTTACTGTGCCCCTGTCCCCTTCCTGCCTTCAATCCTCCCTGTAGAGAAAAAAGTGAAGCTCAGATACAACAGTGCTGTGGCTGAGAGATCAGGTGTGCTGCCAACCAGGTATGGTGTTCCCACCATCTGTCTCTGTGAGTCTGGGTTAAGTCACTCAACCTCTCCGTGCTCTAGTTTCTTTGTCTTTATGATGACTCTTCCTCAAGAAGTGACAATGAAGGTTAAATAAACTAACAGCTCAGGAAACTACAAACAAGATGTTCAAAAATCATTAGTTACTATTCCGGGGTCTAAATCTTTTTGTTAGTTGGAAAGGATAGGTGGAAAGACAAAACAGGAAATGCAATATAGCTTAGTTAAAATATTATCTGTATTCAGCCAAGTGGTGGTGGCACACAACTTTAATCCCAGAGGCAGAGTCAGGCATATCTTCCTGAGTCTGAGGCCAGTCTTGTCTACAGAGTGAGTGCCATGACAGGCTCTAAAGCTATACAGAGAAACCATGTTTCAAATCTCTCTCTCTCTCTCTCTCTCTCTCTCTCTCTCTCTCTCTCTCTCTCTCTCTCACTCTCTCTCTATCTCTATATATATGTGTGTGTATGTATTATGTGTATTATGCATATAATCTGTATTCATATGCATGCAAAAAGATATGTAGAATTTCTTAGTTTGTGGATTATTATATATTTATTGCTTTATTTTTTTCCAAAATGACTGTGCATTGCTTATGTTTAAAGACACTCTGAAGTAGAGCTACTTGTATGTTTTCTGTATGTGGATTCAAACCATCGGGCTGTAATTGAAAGAGTCTACAGTTAACACTGGTCATCTTTCTGGCTTCAGACTGTTGGCAGGAAACCAGACAGGTAGCCTCTGGCCAACGGAAAGCTTTTCTAAGAATTCTAAAGCTTCTTGGTGCTTGGAAAGGACTTCACAGTTTTCAACCACACCCGGGGCAGGATTTCTTCAGAGAGAACCAGGTCATTTTCCCAAGACCCTTAGGGAACAAACTGTGTTTCATATTCTATTTATTGGGGGAAGTGGGGGTTGGATCAGAGTCCACTGGGAGTGGAAACCAGAAACTCTGCCTAATAGCATAAGGTATTCCAAATGCCCTAGCTTCACCATCTACTTCTTTTACTTTTCTTCTCATCTTTTAAAAAACAAAAACCAAGATTATTCTTCCAACTTCAGTGGAAGCAAACATCTCAGGCTTCCCAAGAAGCCACTGTTCTATGCCGTTGTCCTTCCCCTCATTTGCAAAAGCACTGCACATTAGAGAAAGCAATCCTATGGAATGTCCTTTGAAGTCTTGTGACTCTCACTGTGGTGGGTTAGATACTTTAGCTACCAGTCAGGCCTAAGCTGGGCTGACGCAGCAACTGTAAACTGAGACATAAATACTGGAGCAAAAAATAGTGTCAAGCTGACTCTTAATGTCTTATCGTTAGGGCCATGTTCACTCTCATCGGAGAAGCTTCTATTTGCAACAGATGGTGATTAGCACAGAGACCCGCAACTGATGGCAGTGCAGAGAGTAACTGTGGGTTACTCATCCCTAAGTGGGTCTTCTCTGTCATACCCCCTCCTCCCAAGACTCAGGGGTCAGGGCAGAAGAGGAGCCTGTAAGAGCCAGAGATGGTAGATGACTGTTCCGTGTTTTCTGAACACAGTGGGGTTAGCTGACCATAGGAACTCACAGTGACCGTGACAGCATGCACAAGCCCTAAGCAAGCTGGAGCCAGACCGAATCCCAGCATGAAGAGGAGAGGTGGCAATGACTTGCTGTTCCTAGAAGAGGAGCTATTGGCAATGGACAGCTGCTGGTAGAGGGACAGTCGGTTTTCTTTAAGGAGTATAGCTACTGGGAAGTGGAGCATTCTCCAGCGAAGGCCTCACATCCTCGGATATAAGTGCTGCACAAATTGGACTTGATGGATGGAAAAATTAAGGGCACAAAGTAGGGTGGGTAGGG